GCCAAAATACATAAATACATAGCTGCTTATAAATGTTGAGGGGGTATTTTTGTAAAAAAGACCCAAAAAAGCTAAAACTAGTCATTGGGAGGGAACCCCAACGGCTAATTTCTCGAGCGAGCTGCACTCTGCCCACTTCGAGCCCACGCATTGTGCCGGGCCGGCCAAAAATCATGCTGGGCCACAGGTGGCACGACCCATTTTATAATTCTACTTACAGCCCAAGACTGAGCCCATGGATCACAAAATATGCTTGAACCTGAAAAATTAACTGAGTTTGAGCAAGTATGCGGGGCTATCCAGCCCATGAACAGGTGTAGGTATGAAAAGTGCACTTGAAAATTAATTATGGCAATCGCTCTTTGAAGATTTGTGTATGTGGATTTTACTTTCTTTAGCTTTTTTTTTCTTTGTTACTTATCATGGTTATTAGTAGTGTTTTAAAACCCGACCTGGATGTTGAACCATTTTCCCTCTAGGCCACATGTCACTGGTTCAACGACCTGGATTGAATAGCTCCACCCGTGACAAAAGTGTGTGTGTGTATAGGTATTATTGCAAAATTATATAATATATACATAATAATATACTTATATACATATAAACTTGAGGTTTAATTTTTTCAATGTTGCAAGACTCGGATCGGGCTAGATGATCGGACCGGTCCAGTCCGGTTTTCAGAACATTGCCAAAACCGTTTCATTTTCAGTCCTATTTTCAAAACCATGCAAAAAGATACTTGAGGAGGCCTTCAACCAGTGTCTAGGCTCTCCAACAACAATATGGTTGGTTTTTTGTTTTTGAAAACAGAAACCAAATCAACCAAACAAAATCTTTTGGTCCATCACTATCGAACCGAGCAACGAAAATGTTTGCAAACCATTTTTCTTTTTTTTTTTAATTTTTTTTGGCAAAGTCTCATTGATTCAACTAACTGCATGAGGAACTGTTTCAGGGGCTTCATTAATTACACCTAGGGCAGATTGCATTGTCAATGACCTTATGCTTACAAGAGCAATGGCCTTAACGAAAGTTTTTTTTTTCTTTTTTTTAATTCTTGCATCTCTACAGAGATGAATGAAGCAAACGATTTTCCAGGTGTTATTTTTTAAACCATCCCTGAGATGTAATACGTACTAACCAGTTTTTCTCAAACAGTTTGCTTCTCAAAATCATTATTTCACATACAACCAAACCAAACACTGTAAACTATTATCATTTTATTTTATGTAATTGTTTCTCTAAATCCAATGCTTGAGCGGTTGGTGCCGGGTCAACCATGAAATGCATGTAAGACCCCACGTGTACGGATCTGATGTGGGGTGTATCATAAATTCATAATTGTCCAACTGAATGCAATGCATCTTGTCGTAAAGGTTGACTAGTAGTCGGTTTCCAGATCCTTCAATCAAAGGCCCGAGTGGTTCAACCCAAGTGGCGTTGGAATGGGCCTCTCAGGAAGTGGGCCTTACCACACAAATTCGTCCGTTGGGAACTGACAACTGACAAGTGGATCTGTTTCTCAAAAGTGGCACCCAACCACCCTGCCTACTGGCATGTGGGTTTTTCCTAAGCTAAATTGTCCATTTTATCCTTCTTCTTTCTCCCTCGTGCTATATTTTTAACTAGCGAGGTCGGGGACCCGTGCGATACACGGAAAAATCTGAAAATTTTAACAATTTTATTTATTATTAATTAATATTAAATTAATAATCAAAATTTGTTGTTAATTAATTAAAGTATTCGAAGTTATTGTTAATATCTAAAATTTTAATAATTGTATTTTCATTTAATGTTGATTTATAGAAAATAATTATCGTTAATTTAATATGAACAAATATTTTTTAATAAATTTGGCTTTATTAATAATTTATAGTAGTTTTAATAATTGTTATTATTGTCATTATTTTTATTATTTTTATTATTTTTAAGTGAAATTTTGATTAACTTTAAATAAATAAAAATAATTATAAAAGCTAACATTTTTATTAATTTCACTAATAATTAACAATTATATAGGAATGACAATGGGATGGGTTCAAGGTGGGGCACCCCATCCCTGTCCATGCCCCATAGTCAAGACACTCTACCCCCATCCCCGCCCCGTCCCTAGTGTCAGGTGGGTTCAAGACAAGGCAACCACTCCTTGATGTCAGGTTAGTTTGGGGGCAAGGCACCTCACTCCTCATCAAGGATGGGGAATCCTTAAACTTCCTTGCTCCGTCCCCAATATTGGGCAAGTTCAAGTAGAGGTGTAAATCGAGTCATGTTGGGCCGAGTCTTGGGCCAGGCCAGGCCACGGACCAGACCAAGCTATGAGAAGTCCATATAAAAAAAGAATGTTTAATTTTTTATTTCATATGATTTTTTATGTATACAACTAGACCCTATTCATGGGCCAAGTAGCCCGACAGCCCAGCCTAGCTTGACTCGCTATTTTTTAAGCTTGGACAAAAT